GAAGATGATCAGAGACTTCTCTCATAACAACTAACAAAATAACATACAAGAAGCGAATTGTTATAAGCAAGAACTCAACAAGTATATTGTGATAATAAAACTAATGGTACTAATATATTTACTAACAGTGAAAAGATCTCCTTCTCTTGGTGTTTTAGTCTAGTGTGGTTTGCTTTTCTTTATCCCTAGCTGTAGTCCCTCCCCTATATTTCTTTGTAGTTTGTAGTATATGCAAAATAAAAAATATCCCTACGGGGATTAAAAAAACCAAAAACCCATGCTTTCTCAAGGGCAATGAGTATTAAAAGGCCTCATCAGAACATTTTGGAAAGGGGCTGGTAAATTTCTTGAGGTTTTCCCCCAAAAAAGTCTCCTCATGCAGAAATACCTACCTTGTCTGTGGGTGGCCTGCTTTGCTATCCTACTGACCATCAAATTTACAATTAGATATAGTGATAACTTTCTTATCAGCTTTTTTTGTTGAATCAAGGTTATCATTTAGAGCATGAATGGTTAAGCAGAGCTTTCTCAGAACTAAATATACTTGTTGAATAAGAACAGTGCGCATTTACTTCGTATTTGTAACACAAGCAGTCCAGTTTGTTTTTCTGACAACAAACTAACAATTTTGGCTTGTGTGTTATTTACCAAAAAAATGACAATAATTTTGTAAAACAAAGAAAACTGACAGATTGGTTTTAAAAGAAAACCCTGTGTACAAGACAAATAATTCTGAAATTTAAAACTGCACACAACAGAAATTCAAAGGGTTTGTGCAAGTGCAGTATTAAACAATACACTTGCTTATAAAAGTTTTGAATCACAATAGTTTGCTCCTAATGTAGCTCTAACAAAAACTTGAACACAACCACAAAAACCAAGTTTTCAAAAAGAACAAAGTCCAGTTCTGACTAGGCAGGATGTATCGGCAGTCAGCCACTTACAGATCGACAAGAGAAAAGAGAAAGATAAAAGTGAAGTCCAGTTCACTGCCTTGCTTGGAACAACTGCCACTTACGCCTTCTAGCAAGACTGCCTGCTCGTTTTGAGGGCTTTAAAGACTGAGATGATGTTCTATGCTTTCTTGTAGAATGCTGGGGTATAAGCATGTGGAGTGCTGCCACTGGGCAAAAAGAAAACTGAGAAAGGTAAAGAATAAAATAGTGCAATGCTCTTAAATAAGAGGGGGAATATAGCCTCTAGAGAAAGAAAGATTTCTTGAGTAGGAACAGTAGTGCAAAAGTTGGTCAATGTATCATTATCTGTACCTATGTTGAGAAAGCTTAAGAGGCACAGAGGCTTCTAAACCTGAAGCTGCTGAAACTCTGATACCCACTCCAAGCCCCAACAATAAGAGAAGCTAGACCCACAGTAAATAACTTTGCCTGCAGATGGGACCCATAGAATAAAATTCTTCCAGTACACTTATTCTTAAACCAACTGTTATGATAGGACAATGCAGGCCAATCGATCATTCTTACCTTCAAAAAAGCCACCATAAATTGATTCTCCGCCTCTCCCATTTCCTTGTATTAAGAGATAAATCATATTATAAAATTAATGACTGTATGTCATGTAAATTCCAAAATGTTCCTATTCGTTTTTAAAACCTCCACACAAAATACTATTTTACTATAGGTAAATAGCTGTCAACTAAGCAAATCTCAAGCAACAGTTCAGTAAAATAGATTAGAATTGTCCTGTATTTTGCACAACCTTAAAAAGATCTAAAACTAATGAACTGGCATTATTTAAGTGATGTTCATTAGGTTGTTGGCTTTAGGGGATAATGATTAGCCCTATCAAACATTCTAGCTTCAGGTACAGAGGCCGGAGTATTTATAATTGAGTAGTTTTCTCCAAAGAAACTATGACCATTAAAGTTTCACACACATTTGTACACTTGCAGAAAAGTAGTTCCAGCAGCTCTGTCTTACCTTCACTGAAGTCACCTCCTTGGACCATGAAATCTTTCACAACTCTGTGAAACAAACAACTTTTGTAATGCAATGGCTTCTGGGTTGATTTCCCTGTACCCTTTTCACCTGCAAACAGAAGGATAATTTTTTTTAACTTCCTTTAAGCATTAATGGGACAATCTCAAAGAGCCCACCAACATAAAACTGGAAACCAGCTTTTGAAAGAAGGATGTAAAGTGCTGATCAACATAAAAAAAAATGGTCCAATAGAGAGGAACTATTTACTGTTCACCCAGATCATGAGAACAACATAGGAACATTATTTGTTGCAGTGAAGCTTCTATAGAATTGTTACAGTCCAGATAACTAATTATCTACTGACTTCTGATGCCATTATCAAACACTGCTGTGAAACAGAACCGGATTCAACAGCATGAGGAGCTGCTGCTCAAGGACTAAGTCCTGACAGACATGTAGATGTTACATGGTTGTCTGGATTGTAGCCAATGTGTTCAACTCCAGGATTTTAACTGTTAGCTGACAGGGAAAGCAAGAGGTGAAAGCTTTGTCATACAGATGTATCCCAAAAGGGTACTAATTTTGGATGCTCTGAATCTGCGTATCTTCTTAGCAAATACAGTTTTCCACAACAGATCTCAGCAAAATGACATGGGGCTTACTTATTCATCCTGCCTTAAGATCTGTCAACAAAATGAAGCAACAACTAGTCCCTTTGGGAAATTCAACCCAAAAGAAGAATTTGGATGCTCTGAATCTGCGTATCTTCTTAGCAAATACAGTTTTCCACAACAGATCTCAGCAAAATGACATGGGGCTTACTTATTCATCCTGCCTTAAGATCTGTCAACAAAATGAAGCAACAACTAGTCCCTTTGGGAAATTCAACCCAAAAGAAGATTCAAGGACAGCTGTGCCAGAGCTTGTGACTGACCCAAGGTCACATCAGCAGGTGCAAGTGGAGGAGTGGGGAATCAAACACAGTTCTCCCAGATTAGAGACCGCACACTTAACCACTACACCAAACTGGCTCTCAAAACAAACTTACTCAAGATTTCACACTCTGGCTTCTTGTCTTATTTTTCAGTCTCAGCATCTTGCTCTACCTAAAACTGATATGGTCTCTGTGGAGCACCACAACTGGGCATCACAAGCCTCTAACACAGGCATAAGCCAATTGTGAGACAGCACAGATGATCAAGTGAAAGACACCAATTGCAGCAAGCAATCTCTCTCTCAAGACATGCCTCTCTACAGAAATGTGGTCCCTGACCAGTGAGATGTCTGCCCTCTCTCCTTTCTCACTAGTTGAGTGCCACTGAAACTCAGCACAGTGCTGAAGAGTGAGGTCAGGGAAAATACAAGATTTTGGCTGGCTATTATGGCCCATCAAAATCTGTGCCTTGCCCCCACCCTGAAGGCAGGTAGTGGGATATTTGCATACACATTTTGCATACACATTTCTCAAAGTAGTATAATTTAGTATAGAATAGCATGTGGAAATTTATCTTCATTTTTAGCAGGCAGAAAGATTAACAGCTTCATTCATAAGACCCAATTTCATTTGTATATTTATCTTTTTGCGGTAACATATATGGAATCCTACAGATAAATTAAATCGAGGCTACTTCTACATCACAAATTACACATTAGAAGGAAAAGGCATCTACAAACCGGTACAAAGGCAGCGGAAGTTCTCACATGTCTTTGGGCAGACATCTGAAAACAACTCAAAGACAACTCTTCCAGCTAAAAGGAAAAAGAAAGAAGAAATCATTAAAGCAATTGTGTATGTTTACTAAACATTAAGGAGTTTACCCTAGAGTTTACTCATAAATAAGCTCCATTTATTCTAACTAGAATAGACCGCATGTTCTAGAATTTGGGCCAAACTGTAGCTGAACATGAAGAGCAGCATTTCTCTTACCAGGTACATTGTTGATGGCTATGTCAAAAAAGCAACGAGGTCTCTGGGTTTTCACTCCCATGGCTTCAAAATTTTACAGCTGTAACAGAATTACAAATGATAAATTCTCCATTTCCAATTAGTGAAGAAGTACAGCCCTGCTAAATCTGAAGACTTTTTGAGAAATAAAAAGGAAAACTAAGTTACAAAACACTAAAAAATGAGGAAAACGGAGATTTTAAAAAATGATAGTTTTGCTCTCCCTCACAGAGATGAAGATATAAAAACAGTGGCACAGGTGAACAAAAACATCTGGGTTATAACTGTTCCTTTGTTGGCAGCCGTGAGAGCTTGAGGCAAGCCAAAATAGTGTGGCATCAGCTCCTGAATCAATATCAGTCCTTCTCTTTCTCACTGACCCAAGGTCACATCAGCAGGTGCAAGTGGAGGAGTGGGGAATCAAACCCGGTTCTCCAAGATTAGAGTCCGCACACTTAACCACTACACCAAACTGGCTCTCAAAACAAACTTACTCAAGATTTCACACTCTGGCTTCTTGTCTTATTTTTCAGTCTCAGCATCTTGCTCTACCTAAAACTGATATGGTCTCTGTGGAGCACCACAACTGGGCATCACAAGCCTCTAACACAGGCATAAGCCAATTGTGAGACAGCACAGATGATCAAGTGAAAGACACCAATTGCAGCAAGCAATCTCTCTCTCAAGACATGCCTCTCTACAGAAATGTGGTCCCTGACCAGTGAGATGTCTGCCCTCTCTCCTTTCTCACTAGTTGAGTGCCACTGAAACTCAGCAGAGTGCTGAAGAGTGAGGTCAGGGAAAATACAAGATTTTGGCTGGCTATTATGGCCCATCAAAATCTGTGCCTTGCCCCCACCCTGAAGGCAGGTAGTGGGATATTTGCATACACATTTTGCATACACATTTCTCAAAGTAGTATAATTTAGTATAGAATAGCATGTGGAAATTTATCTTCATTTTTAGCAGGCAGAAAGATTAACAGCTTCATTCATAAGACCCAATTTCATTTGTATATTTATCTTTTTGCGGTAACATATATGGAATCCTACAGATAAATTAAATCGAGGCTACTTCTACATCACAAATTACACATTAGAAGGAAAAGGCATCTACAAACCGGTACAAAGGCAGCGGAAGTTCTCACATGTCTTTGGGCAGACATCTGAAAACAACTCAAAGACAACTCTTCCAGCTAAAAGGAAAAAGAAAGAAGAAATCATTAAAGCAATTGTGTATGTTTACTAAACATTAAGGAGTTTACCCTAGAGTTTACTCATAAATAAGCTCCATTTATTCTAACTAGAATAGACCGCATGTTCTAGAATTTGGGCCAAACTGTAGCTGAACATGAAGAGCAGCATTTCTCTTACCAGGTACATTGTTGATGGCTATGTCAAAAAAGCAACGAGGTCTCTGGGTTTTCACTCCCATGGCTTCAAAATTTTACAGCTGTAACAGAATTACAAATGATAAATTCTCCATTTCCAATTAGTGAAGAAGTACAGCCCTGCTAAATCTGAAGACTTTTTGAGAAATAAAAAGGAAAACTAAGTTACAAAACACTAAAAAATGAGGAAAACTGAGATTTTAAAAAATGATAGTTTTGCCCTCCCTCACAGAGATGAAGATATAAAAACAGTGGCACAGGTGAACAAAAACATCTGGGTTATAACTGTTCCTTTGTTGGCAGCCGTGAGAGCTTGAGGCAAGCCAAAATAGTGTGGCATCAGCTCCTGAATCAATATCAGTCCCTCTCTTTCTCTCTCTGCCCCCCCCCCCAATGGTATGGCTTATCTACAAATGATGTTTATGGTGAAGATAAAGAGATTGGGGAAAAAAAATACCGGGCCTCCATTCATGTCTCCCTTTTCCTCCTCCAACTCCTGAAGGTCATTCCTAGAGTGGTTCCTCCTGGAACATATTCCAATCACTACCACTAGTGGTTAGAGTGATGGACTAGGGTATGGGAAACCCACATTCAAATTCCCACTGTGCCACAGAAGCTTCTTGGGTGACCTCAGGCCAGTCACATACTCTCAGCCTAACCTACCTCGCAGGGTTGTTGTAAACATAAAATGGAAGACAGAACAATGTAAGCCACTTTGGGTTCTCCTTGTGATGAAAACCAGGGTATGATGAATGAATATAAATAAAAGATATTCCCACATTACTGTGCTCAGTCAGACAGCACAGACCATACACTACAAGATGAGGAGTGTGTGTCTGTATGTGTGCGTGCACTCGTGTCAAGAAATAGGCCATTGTATGAGACAGCAGTCACCAATACAGCCTTATAGTCTACAGCTATACCTTGAATAA